AGACCCTGTCAGGTAAGGTACATTCCATATTGCAATAATAATGCCTTTGTATAAATCTAAGCTGAAAAGGGATATGATTACACTTTGGCAGAAGCCAGCCAGGGCACTGAATCCAGTATGCTGTGGACATGCCAGTCTGCTTGGAGCCAGCTCAGGATCTCTATACAGAGCTGTTATGCAGGCTACAAACCTGCCAAAAGTGCTCTAACACATATTTACATCCAGTTCAACTCCTGCTTCTACCAAGATAAACAAAAATAGAGTCAAACACTTTATATCTATGCCTCTTCCACTGGCTTTGTGGAGTTACTAAACAAACGAGAATAAAATTATTCTCTGTAAGGCTACTGTGCCTGGTCTATTTTTGCTGGTTTGTGTTTTAATGTTTGTTCACTGACAGAATAAACCAGTCTGAGCTGAAGCTGTTGCAGAGCCTTCTTATACTTTCTTCCACAAGCTATTTGTTCCCATCCCTTCCCTTGTAGTACCCACAGCAGTGCTTTGGGCAACTGAGCCGTGAAAAGGGTCAGGGAGCTTTGTTGTAACAAAACCAGGGAAATATCTGGAGAACATACAGAAGCTTAAAGTTATAAGTAATAGAACTAAGGATAACTTAATTCTGAGTACTGCAATGTCAATTAATTTGGTGTCTTTACTGGTGTAAAGTGGTGCTGCCTTCAGCTACTCTAAAGGTGACTGTGACAAGCCACTCCTGCTAATCTGCATGATATCCAGCAGATAGTGAGCCATTGCCTAACCTCAGAAATGTCCAAATGGAGCTATGGAATCACTCCAGTCCTTTGTGGGTTTGGCAAAGACCTTGTAGGATTTCTAGTGACGTATGCTGGGCCTGACTCAAATCCCAGCACTGGAAATTTCTTTGATTTGCCTTATTGTTATTTCTGACCCTGTAAATGTGGGAAGCACTCAGGCATTAAGGCATTGTTTCCCTGACATATCAGTTGGTCACTGCTGTTTACATCAATTGAAACAGAATTAAAATTCCGATTTGATTTTTCCTCTTTCAAAGCACATAAAATAACATCAATTCAATGCCCATCCAACCATCATGTTGGATGGTTTGTTATGTACACAGCAGGATTTGAGTTTCTTATGAGAAAATTGAAAAAAAAAATGGTGCAGATCTCATAACATCCTTTCCCCTATCATTGTCTGTAAATAACTTCAGAGAAGCTTTCCATTTTCTCCCCTGTTCTCCTTTAAAAGAATTCTTTAAATAGGTTCTTTCTACATTTTAATTTTTCTACCCTTTTTGCATTTTTGTTTTACCCATCCTTTGGTAAGGGCCACCCTACCTCACTTTTGCATGTTGTTAACATGGAATCAATGGAAGATCACTCTCCTGCCAGTTGAACTGGTTTCTAGCAGCCAATATTTGTGGCCACAGACAGCACAAGTTGCAGCCCATATCCATTCTTTCCACAAAATTTTGTTTCAATGAAGTGATCATACTTCCCTTGTACATGTTGTACTGTCTTCCAGCCCCACTTTTAAACACTGAAGAAGATTTCTCTGCACATCCACAAAGTTGTATTTACTTTGAGTGTAAGCCAGTAAGTATGCACACTACTGGCTCAAAAGTTCAGACTGTCATCAAATGGAGTTTCTCCCTTTCTGATTTGTCTTGGTTACAAATGTGCACTGTGAACAAATTGCCTTCCTCTTGATATTCTCTTCAGTTTGCAACACTGCCATCTAATAAAGAAAGTTACTGGGTTTATGCCAGAAAAAAAAATAAATAAAATGGACCACATGTAGTTTTCTATTGCCTGTGCCAAATTAGGACCTTTGTAACATTGGGAGGAAGTTCAGGAGCTTTTGTCTGTTTTTCACACCAAAGGAAATTACAATTTGATGGAGTTACCCATCTCTGAGACAACCCCACCAGCCCCTCTTTAATGGGCACATTGATTGATAATCACAGGGAAACATGAACTCCTTTTCTCTGGCAGATTTTCCTAGGACTGCCTATTAAGCAGGCAGGTACACCAAGACCTGATAATCAGTTTGCTGTCCTCACACTGAACACCAAACTGTTGTAGGCAGGCAGGTACACCAAGACCTGATAATCAGTTTGCTGTCCTCACACTGAACACCAAACTGTTGTAGTTTGCAATGTCCTCATTTCTTCTCTTCCAGACATGCTCCTGCTGGGGCACAACAGAGTGCACAGTGCATGTGGTCTCACCAATTTACCTGCATTGCTCCAGGTGGGACTGTAGTGCTTTGTGAGTGTTTCTGGAATTTTACTCCAACCTTAAAATCTTAAATTTCAAGGTGAGTGTTTTTAGCAATTACAGGAAGCTCCAGCATGTACTATTGAAACATATCTGCTCCAAAGTAAGCTCTAAGCTTTTCAAAGAAGGTGGCTGTGGAAGTGCAGATGACTAGTGAGGAGATGCAGTTACTGTATACAGGAAGCTGGGATCAAGTTCAAATGAAAGCTCTGGGCACCAGTTCTTACCAGCTGATTTTAAAGCAGTTGTAATCTCCAAACCTATCTATCTCTACAGCAGAGGCCCTGGGTATTATATACCTAATGAGTTAGACCATTTGAGCAACCTTCTTTCACATTAAAAAGGCACTTAAAGTTTTTCTTTTGCCAGATTAACTGTTCAGTCTATTTCTGACAGATGAGATCAGCTATATGGAATTTTAATACTGTGTTTCTTCTAAAATGTGTCTCTGTTTATTTCCTTGGGCTGGAATGGAAGTTTGAAGACTGTTGAGGTTCAAAATTGGTTGTGTAATATTACTCTTACTGTTTTGGGGTGTTTTTCAGTAACTACTGGTCGCATGCATAAAGCATAAATAAATAAGTAAAAGTAGAAATAAAGACATGATCTTGTTCCCAAAGAATTTCCAGCTAGGGTCCTGATCTAGTAAAAGAGTTATGTGTGTGCTTTGTGAGGTTCCACTGACCTCAGTGGAAGTATTCAAAGTAGTTTAATATGTGTATAAACCTTTGCAAAATTAGGAGGTAAAATATAGTATGTCTGTTAAAATTTACTCTGCTTTAATGAACTGTATATTCTTTTTTTTTGGTAAAAAATATCTATAGAGTATTCCAGTTATTTTAAAGAATCTAAATCTCATTAGAAAATAATTAAATTATTGCTTGACACAGGCACCAACACATTGGTTTTTTTCTAAAAGCAGGAAAGGAACGTGAAGTTCAACATTTCAAAATAGCTTTCATATTTCTACAGTTTAAATGTAATAAAAACAGCACTCTAATAGAAAAACTCTGCAGATTCTTATCCAGTGGCCACTTCAAGGAGAATACCTTAAGGGAGTGTAAATCTTTGCTTCATTAAATATTGGAACAAACCATATAGTTGAATGTCCACAAAACCACTGGTTAATGTTATCACCTACACTTTCAGCAGCATACTACCATGGGCCCTTCTTATTCCTACTGACAAAACCTGACCTGTGCAAGTGTCTGTAAAAGAATGTGCACGTGGAATGAGTTGTTAATTATGATAAGGATGGCAGAACCACAGCACATGAAAATTACTTTAACAGGTAGCTTTCACGAACATGTCTCAGAAGTGTTTTCAAGAAGTTGAAGACTGAGGATGTCAGCATGATCAAGTCATTCCTGAAAGTTTATTAAATGTGACTGCTCAGGTTTTGGCAATGCAAGGAAAAGAAAATCCATCAATATTGGGAACATACCTGAAAGGATCTGATTTACTATGTGTGTGTTTCACATAGCTTTATTAAACATATCCTTTGCTGAAGTATCATTATACTGAATTTCTTAATCTTAAAAGAGAAAGCATTTGGTTCAGGGTTCAATCAAGTACTGCTGGCATTCCTGGAATGACAACTTTAATCTCCTTCATTGTCCACTTATTTAATGCTTTAAATATATTCTCATGGTAAATCCAGCACCGAGGACAGAGACTGAAAACATTTATTCCTTTAATTAGAAATATGTATCCATACCACAATAAAAACACAATTTAAAATAGAACAATAATAACAAAGTATGCATGAATGCTAATTACAATATAACTGTGAGGGAGCCACTAATATGCAGCTAAGGCTGAATTGATGGGAACTGAACTGAAAGCAGAGTAGTAATCAACATGAGAAGAAAGCCTGATACCCTGGAGTAGATGGGAAAAATAGTTCTGGTTGATTAAGTTTCAGTCTGATGGGGTGAGGCAGGATTTTGAAATTCTGCTCTTTGGAGACTGTGTCAGGGAATAAACGTGCTTCTGGTCAGTGAAACGACAGTTAAAAACTACATGGTGTCTGCTGGATCCCAAAGCATTGGGTGGCACATATGTATGCAGAAGCACATTTATGTAAACACCAGCACTAGTTATTTGATCAAAAGCTTTCCCCATGGTGCCACGTAATCTCACATAGCTAGGGCACTGTACAGAACAATATAATAAAGTTATAGCATCTATAACAAAGCTTATTTCACAAAGTTTATTCTGGAATCAGATCGCAAACATTGTGCTACATCTTGCAGGTACTGATGTGACATTGTCCCAGTGCAGGATGGCAGCAGATCGGGGCACCTGGGAAGTCAGCTTTCTCTTCTGCAGAAGGGTGTCTGATCACACCGATGGCATTGCCTAGGGGACTCTCACACCAGCGCCTACCCCAGATCGCAGTGCAGATCTCGTTAATATGCATTAATCAGCTCTAATTAACCTGCCTTGCACCAGCACTGCTCGGCTACACCTGGCAGGGCGTCCTGGAGGGGAGTCGTTACACAGTACATGTTCTATTTTCCGTACAGCGCTGGTTACACGTGCAGGCTGTGTCGGGACACGGCTCCGGTCCCATCCCGTTCTCTCCCGTCCCTCACAGGGCGCTGTTATCCCGGGCGGACCCCGGCCTGGCGCGGCCGGAGCCGCTCCCGCGCCGCCGCGGCCTCCCCGCCCCTCAGCCGGAACGCGCCGCGCGGGGCCGCGTTGCGCGGGGAAGGGCGCGCGGCGGCACCGGCGGCCGCCATGGCGGTGGACATCACCCTGCTCTTCAAGGCCAGCGTGAAGACCGTGAAGACCCGCAACAAGGCGCTGGGGGTGGCGGCGGCGGGGGACAGCGCCAGGGACGAGCTGCTCAAGCGGGGCACCGCCCGCTCCAAAAGCGACTTCACCAGCAGGGCGCGGGAGGTGGTGAGTGCGGCCCCGGAGGGAGGGCGAGGGGCGGCCGGGGCCGCCGGCAGCGGCTCCTCCCGGGCGGGCAGCCCGGCCCTCATCGCCGCCTCGGAGCGTCCAGCGCTCCCCGGGGACAGCGAGCGGGCCCCGGAGTCGCCCGCAAAGAGCCGCGGGGCGGCACTTTCCCACACGGGTGTGGGCTGGGAGCGCGGCGTGAGAGCGGGGGCCCGGCGCTGCCGGGGCCGGCTCCGAGCCCGCCTGTCGCCCGCGTTCCCCGCGGCGCGGCCCCTCCCGGGGCCTCCTGCCGGGGCTGCGGCTGTGTCCGTGCGGATCCGCCGCCCCTCCGGCCCGTGCCTACGGGCTGAGCACGGCTGATTCCTCCTGCCGGCTGCCACGTAACAGCGCGCTGCCATGGCACACGCGTTCGTCTGCGTCTGCAGCGCTGCTCCCTTTACTGCCTTTGGCGTGCTGGCTTCCGCTGTCACCCAGTGAGGCACTTAAGTGCCAGCCCTAGGCAGATTACATGTACAAAGGTCATCGGAAAGTTTTAAGACTTGCAAAGACAAACACTGAAAAGTTAGGGAGTAAAAGAGGTGAAAGATGATCGGCATTAACAGCAGTCCTCAGTCCATAGTCTTTCTGTAAAAACAGTTTTGTTGCATATTGTTTTCCTCCATTCTGAGTCAAAGGCAGGGTTTGAATAACATGTCTTTGATAAAGCACTGGACTGTATTTTGGAAAACTAAGGAACTCTGAGGAGACAGACTTACAGAATGGATTTGCAAGTTTGGGACTAAATGAGAAATGCACAAGTGGTTTATGGTAGCAGAGGAAGCACAAAGAAATATGAGGTTTTTAGGTTTCCATTCTAGACACTCTTATAGCCACAGATTTGTTTGTTACCTCTATTGAACAAGCCTTTTGTCCCATTGCCACTAGTATTTTTTTTCTGTCTGCATTTTGATTCTTCCTGCTCAGTTTCTGTGTCTGTATTTCAAAGTATTTACAGTCTCAGACTAGGTTCATGCCAACATCTTCCTCCTCTCTAGTCTTTGCTCCCCCTTACCTTCCTGCTACCAGGGCTTCTTTGCTTTTGCCTATTCCCAAGTTTGGTTTTGTTTTTTAAAGTTCTATTCATACTCAAGCCTACCTTCACCTCCATCTTCTCCTTCCCCTGCTGTGGTCCTGTGCAGTGATAGCATGCTATAGCCATGGCCTTTTTTTCTGCCCTGGTTCTTTGGCTTACCCCTGTTCACAGCTGCTGTTTCCTGATGATCCCAGTTTTTTCTCTGAATTCCTCACCCTTTCTGAGTTTCCTCAGTGCACTGTCCAGACAACAGAAAGAAGGACAAAGGCATGGAGAAGAATGTCTTGTTTAATTTGTAAGAGCATCAGATGAAGTAAACAGCTAGTGCCAAGGGGGATGAGCTGAACTGTCTGAGGGAGGCAATGGTTTTAATTAATGGTACTTATATAAACATGACTTTGGAGGAGAAGCAAAAGCTGCAGTGTGTTGCTGTGTGAACATGTGGTGCCTCCTGACAGCTGGTCAGTGAGAAGGAGCAAGGTGGGCTGGCCTTGCTCTCTAAGTCCTGTACCTTTGTGGCAGTGAGCCAACAGCCCACAGAACGTCATTTTAATGTGTGAATAAAACATTGAAACGTAACTTGAAATTAAGATTTATAGTAAAATAAATGATGATTTCATCTTTTTATTTCAGCCAAATACAGTTCAGTTTGATCATGTATGTGTCAAACTCTCTAACAGTAAAGACCCTGAATAAGCTGCACTTAGTCACCAGTTTCTTTATGCCTTACTTGGTTGCAGAATAGAATATTTCAGTTGGAAAGGACCTACAGCCATCATCTACTCCAACTGCCTGACCCCTTCAGGGATGAGCAAAAGTTAAAGCAAGTTATTAAGGGAATTGTCCAAATGCTCCTTGAACACTGATAGACACCACCACCTCCCTGGGAAGCCTCTTCTGATATTTAACCACCTGCTCATTATAAAATGCTTCCTAATGTCCAGTCTAAGCCTCCCCTGGCACAGCTTTGAACCATTCCCAGTCATCCTGACTCTGGATACCAGAGGGAAAAGATTGGCACTTCCTTCTTCATGTCCTCTCCTCAAGAAAATGTAGCAATGAGGTTTCCACTCAGCCTCCTTTCTTCCAAACTAGGGAAGCCCAAAGTCCTTAGTGCAAGTTTTCCATCTGACATGCAAATGTGGAAGTAGTGAAATAATAGAGTCTACACAAAGAACTACTCCTTTCAACATTCTATTCTGTGTGGGTTTGCATAGCATCTTGCAGGTAGAGCTGTGCTGATGCTGCTTGTGCTCCAAGCTCCAGGAGGAGCAGCCAGTTGCTCACAGCTGCAGCACAGCTGGAGTGTGGCATTCAGCTGTAGGATCAGAGATCTCTCTAGCCCATCCCACAGAGGTTTTGTATCACGTAATTAAGGTGTTTGAGCACTTTGCTGAACTGTATTGAGTGATATAACTATCATACATTGAATGTTCTTTTTCTCCTTTCTGCCCCTGAAGGACTGTGGCTTTTGCTGTAGGATCCAAGGACTGTGCAAACTTCTTTGGGTTTTGACTTCTTTTTATACAGTCTCTAAGTGATGTTTAGGAGGGAAGATTGAAGGTGCTTAGTGTTTGGAGGAGAAGCTGTAACAAATTGTAACCAGTAATTGTAACTAGTAATCCTACAATATTGTAACCAGTAATCCTTCACAGCTTCTGTGTGTGTGATAAAGGTTCATTGCACCTGGGAGATAAAGTTATAGATTCCTATTTTACGTTCTCAAACTTAACATGATTTTTTTAGGTGGATTGAAGGAGGCACAGAGAATGTAGAATATAAGAGTTTTGACTTGAATTGATATTGTGTGGGGAAACTGGTTTAGAGACGTGTGCTCTTGGTGTTTTGTGTTACTTACAAGAAAATATCTCAGCATTCTGTATTAATTAGTATTTTTTTGAAGCTGGCTATTTTATGCTCAGGTATACTGTATTGCTGCAGTCTCTGGGGAGCTGATGAAGGTTTTTGTATTTGAGACTTAAGTTCTTAACACAAGGATATTACAAGCTCATCTATAACCATGGTAAAGTTAGTTGCAGAGACTGGTGATGTTATTAAATTGTGGTAAAATATAAATCAAAGATGACTGTTATGGCTCTGAGATGTTGAAAGGATTTTCTTTGCCCTGGCATTGACCTGTCACTGTTTATTTGGTTTGGTTTTTTTTTGGTCTGTCAGCTGCCATTGTACAACCATTGGGCTGTCTGATATATAATGTGACTTATGTTTTTTTGTGGTGAAAATTTTTGACACCTCTCAATCTCTTCACCATAATGTCTAGGACCATTAGGTAAGAAATTATTGTTAAGGATCAACAGGATCCTGTAGCTACAGGAAAGCTACAGTTCCAGTGACAGACTTTCCATTACTTGCAATTTATAAAAGACTTATAATTCGTTATGTGTATGTTAGTGCTTTTTAGTGAATGAAAACAAAACATTTTCTTTCTCTTAGACTTTATGGTGACATGGCTGTTTAAAATGCAGTATCCAGGGTTACTAAAGTTTGCATTTCTTCATACTTTTATATAGGCTTATGTAGTTGTTTGATCCTGACTGGATGCCAGGTACCCACAAGAGATGCTCTATCACTGCCCTCCTCATCTGGGCAGGAGAGAGGAAATAGAATGAAAGGCTCATGGGTCGAGGTAAGGACAGGGAGTGATCTCTCAGCAACTGGGTCATGGGCAAGACCAACTTGAGTTGGGGAAAATGAGTTTAATTTATTACTAGTCAAATCAGAGGAGGATAATAAGAAATAAACCAAAATCTTAATAACATTTTTCCCCCACTCCTCCCATCTTCCCAGGCTGAGCTTCATTGCCAGTTCTCTACTTTGTTCCCACCAGTGGCACAGGGGGACAGGGAGTGGAGGCTGAGGTCAGTTCCTCACACATTGTCTCTGCTGCTCCTTCCTGTGCAAGGGAGGACTGCTCACACTGTTCCCCTGACCCAGAGAAGGGTCTCTTCCACAGGAGACAGTCCCCCATGAGCTGCCCCAGTGTGGGTCCCCCCTGGGGTCCTGCCAGCAAAACTGCTCCAGTGTGGGCTCCTCCCTCCACAGGTCCTGCCAGGAGGCTGTGCAAGCTTCCCATGGGGTCCCAGTTGCCATCCACCACCTGCCCATCCAGTTGGGCATCCACCTGCTCCACCATGGAGTCTCCATGGGCTGCAGGGACACAGCTGCCTTTGCCATGGTTTGCACCAGGGGCTGCTGGGGAACCTCTGCTCTGGCACCTGAAGCACCTCCTGCCCCTTCTTCTGCACTGACCTTGGTGTGTGCAGAGCTGTTCCTCTCACATGTTCTCTTTCCTCTCTCCTGCTGCAGCTCCTGATGTGCAGTAGCACTTTCTCACCCCTTTGTTAACTCTGTTATCCCAGAGGCACAGCCACTGTTGCTGCTGGGCTCATCCTTGCCCAGTCTGTCCTGGAGCCAGCTGGCATTGCCTCTACTGGACCTGGGGGAAGATTCTGGCAGCTTCTCACAGAAACCACCCCTGTAGCCCCCCACTACCAAAACTTTGCCACACGAATCCAATACATTTTTTCCTTGGTATGGTGTCAGGTTTGGGATTAAGCTAAGTGATAGAAGAATTTTAAAGATTCAAGCAGAAATATTTTAGTTAAAAAAATGGGCTCACAGTAAGTGCTCAGTGACAAACATAAGCAGTTCACAGCCCAGTTTATGTGACATTGGTTCACAGCTTTACAATGCCTTAAATCTGTTGTTTTGTATGTTTTAAAAGATTGTCAGTTTTGCAAAGTATTTGTCATTTGAGCTGCTGTTTTAGGACAGTATTAGGAAATGTGACTCCTAAAGGCCTTCCCTTTTACTTTTTTATGGCACATGAGAGCAATTGGGAATATCCTCTGTCAAATATACTTAGATATTTGAAAACATAGAAGGAACAAGAACTTTTTATGATTGGTGA